ACGTCAGCATGATCAACGCGAGCCTTGTGAACTACACCATGTACAACGTGTCAGCTCACAACTACAGCATGGTCAATGTGTCCGCTTTCAACCTGACCAAGTGGAACGTCACCATCAATGGCTCCATCTACAGCAATGTGACATTGAACAACACCATGTGGAGGAACGTCACCTTCTTGAACAACATCAGCATCCCACTGTTCAACAACCTGACCAACTTCACCCTGTACAATGCCACGTTCTACAATGTCAGCCTGCAGTCGATCAATGCCACCAACTTCACCTTCATCAACAGCACATTCTACAATGTCAGCATGATCAACGCAAGCCTGGTAAACTACACAATGTACAACGTGTCTGCTCACAACTACAGCATGATCAACGTATCTGCTTTCAACCTGACCAAGTGGAACGTCACCATCAATGGCTCCATCTACAGCAATGTGACATTGAACAACACCATGTGGAAGAACGTCACTTTCCTGAACAACATCAGCATCCCACTGTTCAACAATCTGACCAACTTCACTCTGTACAACGCTACTTTCTACAATGTCAGCCTGCAGTCCATTAACGCCACCAACTTCACCTTCATCAACAGCACATTCTACAATGTTAGCATGATCAATGCTAGTGCTGTCAACTACACCTTGTACAACGTGTCTGCCTACAACTACACACTGTACAACTGCAGCATTGCCAACTACACCATGGTGAATGTGACTGCCCTGAACTTGACCAAGTGGAATGTCACCATCAATGGCTCCATTTTCAACAATGTCACAATGAACAACACCATGTGGAAGAACGTCACCTTCCTCAACAACATCAGCATCCCGCTGTTCAACAACCTGACCAACTTCACCCTGTACAACGCTACATTCTACAATGTCAGCCTGCAGTCCATTAACGCCACCAACTTCACTTTCATCAACAGCACATTCTACAATGTCAGCATCATCAACGCAAGCCTTGTGAACTACACCATGTACAACGTGTCTGCTCACAACTACAGCATGGTCAATGTATCTGCCTTCAACCTGACCAAGTGGAACGTCACCATCAATGGCTCCATCTACAGCAATGTGACTTTGAACAACACCATGTGGAAGAACGTCACTTTCCTGAACAACATCAGCATCCCACTGTTCAACAACCTGACCAACTTCACTCTGTACAACGCTACATTCTACAATGTCAGCCTGCAGTCGATTAACGCCACCAACTTCACCTTCATCAACAGCACATTCTACAATGTTAGCATGATCAATGCTAGTGCTGTCAACTACACCTTGTACAACGTGTCTGCTTACAACTACACACTGTACAACTGCAGCATTGCCAACTACACCATGGTGAATGTGACTGCCCTGAACTTGACCAAGTGGAATGTCACCATCAATGGCTCCATTTTCAACAATGTCACAATGAACAACACCATGTGGAAGAATGTTACTTTCCTGAACAACATCAGCATCCCACTGTTCAACAACCTGACCAACTTCACCCTGTACAACGCTACATTCTACAATGTCAGCATGCAGTCCATTAACGCCACCAACTTCACCTTCATCAACAGCACATTCTACAACGTCAGCATCATCAACGCGAGCCTTGTGAACTACACCTTGTACAACGTGTCAGCTCATAACTACAGCATGGTCAATGTGTCGGCTTTCAACCTGACCAAGTGGAACGTCACCATCAATGGCTCCATCTACAGCAATGTGACATTGAACAACACCATGTGGAAGAACGTCACCTTCTTGAACAACATCAGCATCCCACTGTTCAACAACCTGACCAACTTCACTCTGTACAATGCTACATTCTACAATGTCAGCCTGCAGTCGATCAACGCCACCAACTTCACCTTCATCAACAGCACATTCTACAATGTTAGCATGATCAATGCTAGTGCTGTGAACTACACCTTGTACAACGTGTCTGCCTACAACTACACACTGTACAACTGCAGCATTGCCAACTACACCATGGTGAATGTGACTGCCCTGAACCTGACCAAGTGGAATGTCACCATCAATGGCTCCATTTTCAACAATGTCACAATGAACAACACCATGTGGAAGAATGTTACTTTCCTGAACAACATCAGCATCCCACTGTTCAACAACCTGACCAACTTCACCCTGTACAACGCTACATTCTACAATGTCAGCATGCAGTCCATTAACGCCACCAACTTCACCTTCATCAACAGCACATTCTACAACGTCAGCATCATCAACGCGAGCCTTGTGAACTACACCTTGTACAACGTGTCAGCTCATAACTACAGCATGGTCAATGTGTCGGCTTTCAACCTGACCAAGTGGAACGTCACCATCAATGGCTCCATCTACAGCAATGTGACATTGAACAACACCATGTGGAAGAACGTCACCTTCTTGAACAACATCAGCATCCCACTGTTCAACAACCTGACCAACTTCACTCTGTACAATGCTACATTCTACAATGTCAGCCTGCAGTCGATCAACGCCACCAACTTCACCTTCATCAACAGCACATTCTACAATGTTAGCATGATCAATGCTAGTGCTGTCAACTACACCTTGTACAACGTGTCTGCCTACAACTACACACTGTACAACTGCAGCATTGCCAACTACACCATGGTGAATGTGACTGCCCTGAACCTGACTAAGTGGAATGTCACCATCAATGGCTCCATTTTCAACAATGTCACAATGAACAACACCATGTGGAAGAACGTCACCTTCCTCAACAACATCAGCATCCCACTGTTCAACAACCTGACCAACTTCACCCTGTACAACGCTACATTCTACAATGTCAGCCTGCAGTCCATTAATGCCACCAACTTCACTTTCATCAACAGCACATTCTACAATGTCAGCATCATCAACGCAAGCCTTGTGAACTACACCATGTACAACGTGTCTGCTCACAACTACAGCATGGTCAATGTATCTGCCTTCAACCTGACCAAGTGGAACGTCACCATCAATGGCTCCATCTACAGCAATGTGACTTTGAACAACACCATGTGGAAGAACGTCACTTTCCTGAACAACATCAGCATCCCACTGTTCAACAACCTGACCAACTTCACCCTGTACAATGCCACATTCTACAATGTCAGCCTGCAGTCGATCAATGCCACCAACTTCACCTTCATCAACAGCACATTCTACAATGTTAGCATGATCAATGCTAGTGCTGTCAACTACACCTTGTACAACGTGTCTGCCTACAACTACACACTGTACAACTGCAGCATTGCCAACTACACCATGGTGAATGTGACTGCCCTGAACCTGACCAAGTGGAATGTCACCATCAATGGCTCCATTTTCAACAATGTCACAATGAACAACACCATGTGGAAGAACGTCACCTTCCTCAACAACATCAGCATCCCACTGTTCAACAACCTGACCAACTTCACCCTGTACAACGCTACATTCTACAATGTCAGCCTGCAGTCCATTAATGCCACCAACTTCACTTTCATCAACAGCACATTCTACAATGTCAGCATCATCAACGCAAGCCTTGTGAACTACACCATGTACAACGTGTCTGCTCACAACTACAGCATGGTCAATGTATCTGCCTTCAACCTGACCAAGTGGAATGTCACCATCAATGGCTCCATCTACAGCAATGTGACATTGAACAACACCATGTGGAAGAACGTCACTTTCTTGAACAACATCAGCATCCCACTGTTCAACAACCTGACCAACTTCACTCTGTACAATGCTACATTCTACAATGTCAGCCTGCAGTCGATCAACGCCACCAACTTCACCTTCATCAACAGCACATTCTACAATGTCAGCATGATCAACAGCAGCCTCGTTAACTACACCATGTACAATGTGTCTGCTTACAACTACACGTTGTGGAACATGTCCGCGGTCAACTACACGATGAAGAACGTCTCGTTCGTGAACTCATCTTTCGTGAACATCACTGCTCTGAACTTCACCCTGTCCAACTGCTCTGCCTCAAACTGGACTCTGGCTAACTTCACTGCCTCTCGCTTCATCCTGCACAACATCTCTGCCGTTAACGTCAGCATGTACAATGTCAGCATGGTGGCTTCTCGCTACGTGAATGTTACCTTCATGCGATCCAACTTCACAGAGAAGTTCATCCTGAACTCCAGCTTCGTGAATGTTACCCTGGCAGAAGCCAAGATGGAGAATGTCACAATGGTGAACTTCACCAGTGCCAACTTCACTACAGTGAACAGCACTGCATTGAACTACACCTTCATCAACACCACCAGCTTCAACATGTCTATTGACCAATGCCAGTACACCAACTTCAGCCTCATCAACTCGACCTTCCTGGCTCCTCGATGGGTGAATGTGACTTTCAACGCCACAATCTTCAACAACGTCACCTTGACCAATGCCACTCGCCCGGTCATCGCCAATGAGACTGGTCTCTTCTACGTGCAGGATTGTGCCAACAGCAGCTTCTACATGGCTCCCTACATTGACTCTGTGCTCTTCTTCAACTCCACCATCAACAGCACCAGTCTCTACCATGCTAAGCTGGTGAACATCACGCTGGAGCTGACGCTCTTCAACAACTCACTGATCTACAACAGCACCATCTTCAACATTGGTGCCATCATGAACCAGTTCTTGAACTGCTCGATCCTCAACACGACCGTCACCGACGGATTCCTGAGCACGAATATCTTCAACACCATCCGCCGCTATATGCTGATCACGGAGGCTGTGTTCCTGGAGGGGTTCAACACCATCTCAAATATCTTCGAGCTGGAGGTGCTTCCCGTGGAGCTGATTGAGGAGCCAGTAATGCCACTCCTAGGTAAGAAGAACTAGCTGACTGATCCCCTCACTGACCATGTTGTCTCTGCGCATTTTCATCTTGTTCTAGTTGTGCATGGTCGTTCATGTTTGATGATGTTTCCCGGTTTTTCGTGTGCAATGCACTCACTTGTAGTATGTGTAATCTTGCGATGATGATACTCGTACATGTACATGCAATGATGTGGTTAACTTGTTGGAATCACGCTGAACATAAACTAACCCTGTTTCTGCCTGTCCGTGTTTCGGTGCTTGCTTCTGCAGAGCTTCCCTGCTATCCAGTCGACAAAGTTCTGGAAGAAGTGGAGATAACTGAGGAGCCATTGCCTTTCAGCAATACTCCGTTGCCTTTCAGCAATACTCCGTTTGATCCGGAAATGCCACCGCAAGAAATTATCTATAAGGTCGACGACACGAACATTCTTTTAAATTTTTAATTCGCTAACTCTCCTCCCCGATCTATAAACAAGTGTTCACACTCATTTCCACCATAAGCCCGTTCTACAGCAGAGTAATCTCTTATACTAGCTTTGCCTGTCCCTAGATCACTCCTATCTTCTATTTTATTCGCCAAACAATCCAGAGGGCGGTTTTGATACTGCAAACAACAACCATGTGTGCTTCTTCCTGAGATATCTGTTATTTCTTGGCTGATGCCTTTCGGCCGTGTTTATCAGCACACGCATGCTGCCGTCGCCATAACCTTCGTTTTGTGAATCCTTAGGTATTACAATAGACATCTTATCAACAATTATCCAATCCTGTCCTGCCGTGCGCTCGCACGAGAGCGAGTGTACGTGTGCGCACGCAAACGCATGCATGTGCGTGTGAGTGTTAGTGCATGATTCTGTAAGGTTTGTGCTGAGGCACGATACCACGCTTACTATCCCTCCGATGGCGTGGTTGTGAGTGTCTTTTTTAAGCCTGTTTGGTTGGGAGTTTGGTGCTTAGAATAATACTGGAGATAACACTTTGCAGTAGCTGCAAGACGGATATTCTTCTTTGTGATATTAACTTGGCTTGCATGCATTCAAAAATAATCAAAACAGCACATAAAGTTCCTCTAAAACTTCAACTAAATTCCCAAATGGTAGTAACTTACTGATCTGTTCACCATCAGTACGATGCACCATCCGCTAGAGATCTGAAAAAGAGTACTAATACGGGCATGAGGTACAGGATATAAAACTACTTACACATTGCAATGCACGTACTCGTAGGTCTACCAATGCTGGCCAAAGAAAACCAACCTCCTGCAGAAAATAGCGTTGCCGGGCGCTACGCAGCCCTAGTACCACACACAGTGTTCTGTGCACTCGATGGCTCCGCTACTTTATTCAGGGAGTCGTAACATACCGGTATTTTACGACTCCCTGGTGCCAGCTGTAGATGGTGTGAAGTCAATATTTTTTTTACCATTTTCGCTTGTACAAAAAGTATGGTGTTTCTCAGCCACGCTCCCGTCTTCATCAACTGTGATAATTTAGTTCGTTCTCAGTGGCGGACCATGCAAACCAACGTTTCCCTCTCCACACAAAAATGCATCTTGAATTATGGCGTAATCAGCTAATTTGTGTACAACTGGATCATACACTTATACGACCAAGTCGGAGTCTCTCTAGTCCCTATGCAGGCCCCAGCGCTGCATAGCGGGAGCACAAATAAACAAAGCCCAGATGTAACAAACTACCAGGTGAAAAGGAGTTGGGCCTTTCTTTGCGGTGGGTCTGATGCACTCACCTCTCCTGCGCCTTGATCATTGCGTTGCCGCGGATGCGGAAACGTCTGGCTGCCTCTGTCTGGCCCGTAGTCTGAGTCCCGCTGCAACATATTGTTTTTCATTTACTTGCATAACCACCTGCTGGTCGTTCATCACTCATTCATTTTTTTTGAACACGCACACATACTCTCGGTAGTGTTTTTGCGGGCGAATAGACTCCACTTCTGCGGACTCCAAATTTTCTGGTCTGGACAATCACCAGGGTGTATAATCCAACTAAAGGCTAACAAGCCAGACTGAATGTGTAATAGATAACACTATGACTAAGTGCAATAGAGCCGTGAATGGTGATGAGTTAAAGCTGTCGCAGCTAGAGTGTAGCTGTTACTGTTCCTGAGGTGGGAACTACAAGAGAGCTGGTGTAACTTGTAAGGGTGGGCGAGGGGGGTGGGGGCGGGGGTGGAGCTGTGTTTGTGTGCGAAAAATATTTCACGGTTCGCGTGATGCTCGTTTGGACAGAGTTTTCCGCGTCCGCAGGAACGCCGCCACACTCAAGAATCCAGGCGTAGTGGCGGCTCCTAACAGTGGTGGGAGGTATAAGTAGATCAGACCCGCTACGTACGAAGTGGTCAAAGACCGAACATCCCATTTGCTCCATTCATGTTTCCCTTGTGCCGGGCCACGGGTGAAAGTCAGAGGGAATAATGATGTGAAGGTGAAGACATACGTGTGACCACAGCACCCATGAAGTCAGAAGAGAGGAGTTTTTTTCGCAGCGAAGAAACCGTTCGTGGAGTGACGGTTGAAAGTGTGCTAGGAGTCAAGGGTGATTGATGTGTAACAAGCTGCAATGGAATGTGCGAGTTTTTAGAAAAGTTAGTGTATCTGCTGATTGCCAAGAGTAGGACTGGTCTACACTACAGATCAGTAGAATCATAGGCTACACAACTCTGGATCACGTGACACTGTTCAGGCTCCAACGCCGGTGTGGCCTTGCTGCACTATCTGCTGACGAGTACTCGCACAGCGAACACCAGGGAGTCGTATACAATCATGTATGACTCCCTGGTGCTTACTTATCACTACGGTAACTTGAAGTTAACGGATTAGAACCCCTAGAAATTCAACCAGGCTTTACAAAATTGGGACAGGTATGCCATGGCAAAACGTAGGGAGAACATGTCCCAAACTCACATTTTTATATTTAAATGTGGGGTTTTGAGCCTATATTCGGCCAAAGTCGGGCTTTCAGAATCCAGCCCGACTATTTTGGATGAACGGACTGTATCTGCAACCGTATGACACAGTCATGACGCTGCCAGCTAGCTGTTTTTGATGAATTTCATTTAAAGTCACAACACAAACCAGCTAGTGTCATAAGGTACTAGTAATGGAGACAGCATGCGGCGCTGGAGGACAGTCAAGCGTTGGAATCATTCAATCTTGTACACATTCCACCCATAGAAAAGAAACAAGCTTTTTCTCAAGAACAAAAAACAGTTCTCCTAGGTCGGGATATCCAACCACCTTTACTAAAGTGCCAAAAGTCATTTCGGCGTTCGTTTACCTGTACAAGTGGAGTTGAATGTGTATTTGAACAGCCGAGTGGAACATTTGAAAGTAAAGTTACAGTTGCCGCATGATGTCTCACCATAGAACATGTTTTGAACGGTAGAAGTTACCCTGAAGATGTTGCAAGAAATTCTAACGATCATTTTTGGATAATATTGCCCTTCTCTCACTTTGGCTCTCCCTCTCACTCCCTGCACAGTAGCTGCGTCAATGGTTCCATGTGGTCTCTCCCTGTCGTTCTCTCTCTCGCCCTCTCTCTCGCCCTCTCTCTCGCCCTCTCTCTCGCCCTCTCTCTCGCCCTCTCTCTCTCTCTCTCTCTCTCTCTCATCTCTATCTCTATCTCTATCTCTCTCTCTCTCTCTCTCTCTCTCTCTCTCTCTCTCTCTCTCTCTCTCTCTCTCTCTCTCTCTCTCTCTCTCTCTCTCTCTCTCTCTCTCTCTCTCTCTCTCTCTCTCTCTTTCTCTCTCTCTCTCTCTCTCTCTCTCTCTCTCTTCTCTCTCTCTCTCTCTCTCTCTCTCTCTCTCTCTCTCTCTCTCTCTCTCTCTCTCTCTCTCTCTCTCTCTCTCTCTCTCTCTCTCTCTCTCTCTCTCTCTCTCTCTCTCTCTCTCTCTCTCTCTCTCTCTCTCTCTTTCTCTCTATCTCTCTCTCTCTCTCGCCCCGCCCCTCTCTCCCCCTCTCACCCCGTCTCTCTCTCTCTCTCTCTCACACACATACACACTATCTCTTATCAATGTCTCCGTCTAATCTATCTTCTTTCTCAATGCCGTGCACTCAGCACTGTACGTACGAGCTGTATGGTGTGGAAAATTGGTACACTGTACACCGTTTCAATCATGAGGCGTGTGGCAACCACGCTGGGACTTTCACGGTTCATTTACTCAGTTCACTGCAATCTTCATTGCCTAGCGCCAACGATGTTTACGTGAAAACGTCGTTTGTAGGCTGTAACTACTCTAGTGTAGCTAGATAGATTTAGTCGGCACAGGGATGCCGTGCCCAGTGTCTCGGCGTAGGTGGACATTCTTGAAAATGCTGCCGCAGGCAATGGCGTCATGCAATTAGGGATTTACTTAGCGGTAGGCAACGCACTTTGGCACAGCCAAACTGCTAACCCAGTCAGCAGAAGTCGGTAGTTGCCTAGCGGAGAGACTGCGTAGCAAAGAGGTCCACGCGAGCATGGAGGTATGAGCCAGGGAAAGATGCAGACGCGGACGTATCCTGTCACTGAACTTCACTGGACATAATGAAAGGCTCAGTTTCGCAGACAAGTGATCCCATTTTCTCTTGACGTATAATTCAATAGTTGTCAAGCCCGTAGCAGACTTCTGATGGATCCTGTCAACTTGCTGCATACAGAAAACGTCAGAAGTTCAACAACAAGCCAGAGACATGTACAGATCGCGGCGATACGCTGAAGGAGTTATAATCTCAGAAAGGTGCGATGCATCCGTGTACATGTACATGACTGATTGTACTCTTGATTATTACGTTGCTAATGTGACTAGAGACGTAGCGATCACTGAAAGCGTGCTGCTGCTGCTGCTGCTGCTGCCCTACTGGTATCATGTTTAAGGTCACAGCTTCGGGGCTCGACCAACTCAACCAAGACCTAAAAGTGCAGCACGCGATGTGCCCTGCGTGTTGCGCGTGGTGTCCTGTCGTGTCCGGCGCCACTACCATACACTTGTAGCAGACGTGATTGTGACAGGAACACAATAGTAACCTTACATGTCACCTCGCTGCCTGCCGTACACTGAGTCACGATGTAATTGTATTGATGTTCCCACTAGCGTCAACAAGCAACAGCACACCACCGCCACTGCCACCACTCCCTCTACCTACCTCCCAACTTTGACCCTTTCGTGCGAACGCCAAGCCACGGACGACCACGGCGATGATGCTCGCCTAGGTTATAACGTCAAACGATCCTCGCAGGATCGCCACTTCTGCCAACGCAAAGCAGAGACCACTTTGGAGCTTTTCGTCCCAGTATAGTTTTCGTCAAGTTAGTTAATTTCTTTTTAAAGCGTCGCGGCCAAGAACAGCGCGAAAGGTATGGAGATATCACGGTATCTGCGAAGGAAACGTCCCTTTACCGTTGTTCTTCACAGGCTTCTGCACCCGATTTTTGTAACATGAAAAACATTAGATACAGGATAACGTTAGGATCCGTTTGAGACACTCTATAGATGTCGGGTATCGATGCCCTTCAAATGCCTAATGCTCGTAATAGTATCGGGCCTCAGGCAATCTGAATATTGCGTAGGGCCGTGAAACTTGGAGTTGTAACTAAACTGTATAGCTGTCCTCTCCCCCTGCTGTGTGTGCGGGTGTAAGGAGTCCACCCCATGGTGGTGATCAGTCTTCAAAAGGTGGGAGGCTTGTGTACTGTCATCATCCTGAAGTCGGATATAGACACTGAATGTGTTCTTGTCACGAGCGAATGGGACCACTAGCCTTCCACTCATGGCTTGTACTAGTATTCGAGCCAAGTATTGTGACGGTCACTGTGTACTCTGTCTTCTTTGACCATACCGCACAGCATGTATCGATCCATTCTTCTTCTGGCTCTTGTTGGTGCCGCGTTCGCGGAGAACGAGATTGTGGAGAACGAGTCGGTGGAGGAAGTCATCTTCGCACTACCCCACGTAAGTACATTTCTATCTAGCTCTGAGCTATGTCTCAGGATAGGAGATTATGATCTTGGTCTCGGGCATTCGTGTTACCACTCAAACCCTTCATTGGAAAGAACACAAAGGTGGACTAGCAAAAAGGTATTAGTTTTACTGCTTACACCAAAGCACTTCCAAGTACTAATCCGGGGGAGTAGTCATGCGTCGTAGGGCCAGAGCAGCTTGCCGTGAAACTAGTAATACCACTAAGCCTTACTCTAACGTAACATGAAAATATGGGTCAATGAATATTCAAGTGCTTTAAGTTGAAGTACAGTCATGTACATATACATGCATTCTGTGATGCTACGAGCACTTTGAACTACTTTCCCCTGAAATCATGAAAGCGGGTGGCCACTATTGACGTCGCTACCTTGGCTTAGGATCTACAAAATCATGAAAGTGTTGTACTTGTAGCCTTTCTAGGATTTTCCGGACGAGCGTGCTGCTGTACAGCTCTGTGGTCTGGTGATTGACCTTGTGCACATGTCCTTGGCATTATAATAATTATTATAATAATAGTATTAATACTAGGGAGTCGTAAAATACCGGTATTTTACGACTCCCTGATGATAGTGATATCTACGAGTACTGCCCTTGATTGATTGCTGTTTTTTTCTTCTTCTTTTTTGCTCATGCAGTCATATCATGTCTTTTCACTCCATCCAGTGACCATGGTGACATGACTCTAATGATCTTTTTTGTGTGCTTCTGCTTCCCGGTACGTACAGGACGAGAGCACTGTTATTATCGTTGCTGAGAATCTCCTCCCTGCACGTAAGCTCTCTGTCGATTGTGAGCGTGTTTGGATCCTGCGCGCTTTCAGACAGCACACGGCCAAGGGTCAGGCGTTGAAGCAGCCGGTGCAGCTGAGCTGAGCTGCTGAAATTCCCTTTGCAGATTTTGCGCCGTATATTTCCACAATTAGTTATCTGTAGATTTTGTCGAGACTTCAGAGTACAGTTGCTTTCTAAAGATTTAAAAGTATTGCATGTCTATAGACAAAGTCGAAGGCGTCGTGATGCATAGCTGACTTGAATATCTCGTTGGCTCCTCTAATTCAGTAATGCAGTTGTCATCTGCTGTGTCACCAACCAACTGTGGTTCGTAGCGAGCTGGTTACTAGTGAAGCTTGTCGTGCAGTGGAATGAATAATGTCGCAATTTCTGAGGTAATTGGAGCATAACTTGAGCTCGTTCTGGCTATGTGTTTACTAAGCCGTTGCAAGCTGTGCTGGGTATAATAACCGAGTCGCTAATTTGTCCTTGTCATTTTGCATTTTTGTGTTTTTGTCCGCTATTCGCTAGATCCCTGTGACTATCAAACCTGCGAGCCCGATTATGTCTGTGAACTGGACCAATCTGCGCTGCCTGCCATCAAGCCGCTATGCCGTTCTCTGACAGGTACAGTGGACGTGCGAGAGAGAAATCCTGTTGCTTCGACTTAGAGCGTTTGCTGCTGGGCAGCTACTCTAGCAGCGGCAGGCTGGTTAACACTACAGGGCTGGTCAGTGAAATGCGATCGCGTGAATCCTAAAGTTTGTGCTGCCCTGCACCAGTACACATCCCAGTGTATTAGTACTGTCTGTGTTTGCAGGTCTAGGGCTGCACAGCGGCCAGCGTGACTCGCTGGGTCGGATTTCAGCCAGCAGCACTGTAGAAGTAGTCGCGGGTGGGTGGGTGGGTGGATGGGTGGGTGGTGGGGTGGTGGTGGGGTGGTGGTGGGGTGGTGGTGGTGGTGGTGGTGGTGGTGGTGGTGGTGGTGGTGGTGGTGGTGGTGGTGGGGGGGGGGGGGGGGGGGTGCAGGTCAAACCCATTTACCACCATGGTTCCTCTACAACCCCATTAGTGGAGGGGGGGGGGGGAGTTGGTCGGTGGCGAGTGTATTCTGGAGTGATGGAGTCCTAGATCGAAGCGTGATAGCCGAGCGTGAAGCTAGCATCTCTTCGTCGCCTCGCCTTGCTTTGAATTAAAATTTCTTTTCAGTTTCTACGCGAGGGGAATGAATGATAACCCTGTTCTAAAGTAGGTGAGTGGATGCCAGTTGAGGATGGCTTATTGGTGCCCGACCAGTCACGCCTTTGGGTCAATTTGTCGGGCACCAACAAGCCGTATTGCCTTTCCTCCCTGCCATGCAGAGAGCTACTAACTACAGTGGTGCTCAATGAAATCCGATCGAGTGAGTCAAGTATGCGCTGTGCAGCCCTAGACTACTGCAAACACTACTCTCATGTGGTTGGTCTAGTGGTTAGGATTCGGCGCTCTCACCACCGCGGCCCGGGTTCGATTCCCGGTGTGAGAACCACAATGGTGAAATACTCGCGGCACGTACGCAGGCACTCCAGAAGCCAAAGTTCTTGGTTTGCACTAGGGACTCGAGATGATGAGATTAAAATGATGAGCTTGAGAGCGAGAAAGGATGAGACCCGAGGTTATGAAGGGCCTGGATAGCTATGGCAATGAATTTATGAGAGCGCAAATGCAGCTACCCAGGCCAAACGAAATATACGGGAATGCGGGAAAGCGAGGGGAGAGTGCGGGAGCAAGAAGTTGTAGCGTATTCGAGAAGCGGGAATGGGAAAGGGTGCATCCGGTAATGTGTGTATGAGTGTGTGGGTACGTACATAGATGGGTGAGAGGTCAATGGTGTGTGAGTGCGTGCATACATGGAATCGTGAAACTAACAGTATGAACTGGTGCAGGGCACAAACGTGATTCTCGCGATCGGATTTCATTGAGCGGCACTACACTGTAGTATAGGAGTATGTTCAGCGTGTGTGTTGACTTGTATATGCAGTCACTGTTCGCCAGCCCCAGCTTCATGTACTATTCTGTATCTGTATGCATTGCTCTTTGTACAGAGGCCATTGCCGAACCGGGTCACACCCAGCTCTGTTTGAAGACGCGGCGTACTGACAATGTCCAGGCGGAGAACACTGGCGACGAGTATACGTACCAATGCCAGTGCATGGAGCAGTGTCCGGAGCCCAGAACTGACGAAGAGATGTGTGGAGACGATGGTCATACGTATCCCAGCCACTGTCACTTGCACCGCGAGGCCTGCAGAGCCAATCGTGCTATCCGCATCCTCCATAAAGGATCCTGCCTGCGTGAGTGTCTTATAGGAAATACTTCTTATCATGGCGGTCAATTGTTGGCCGACAACGTTTGGTTTCACCAGATGTTTAAGCCGCTAGCTTGTGACCATGTGTATAACGCTACAAGCTACACGCTACAAGCTAGCCAGCCCAGAATTAAGAGACAAGAAAGAGCATAGGCTCAAGACCCTTGCTTTGCCATTCACCAAGTGATCATTGTACCACTCATGATATACAGTCAACTTCGCTAATAACGACTGCGGATATAACGACAATTCGCGAATAACGACAGAATTCCCATGCCCACAGCAAAGTCCCTTCCAACTGTAATACGTTATAATGAGACTTCGGGTATAACGACACTTCGCGAATAGCGACACCTTTTTGATGCCCCGCCGAGTGTTGTTATATGCGAAGTTGACTGTATCACTACGTGATGTCGTACCCCTTTGCCAAAGCTGTAGGAAATACTGTGCAGCGTGGGAGTGGATTATTTGTTTGGCATCTGCGTGTTATCAACCCTGCAGACCAGCAGGCGTTCATCATCAAGCATTATGAAAGCCAATTCCATGATAAATCCCTCCCTGACATTCCACAATTCCTAGGTGATCCCAGCCCTCTCCCCAATCAAATCACATCGTCCGAAGTTAGGAGGGCCTTCCAAAGCCTGAATAACGGGAGAGCGGCAGGCCCTGACCATCTCTCCGGAGAGTTACTCAAGTACAGTCCTCCCATTGTCGCTGAGATGACTTCCGACATCTTGAACCGAGCTATTGAGACACATGACCCACTCGAAGTTGGCAGAGGAACCCTAATACTGCTGCAGAAGCCCGGTAAACCACTAGGGCCGCTTACTAGTACGCGCCCTATCGTACTGCTCTCGGCGTTGAGAAAGACGCTGTCCCTGATTGTGCTGAAGAGGATACAGCCAGCGGTTGATCAGTACCTGGCTACATCCCAAAGTGCTTTTCGTCGTGGCCGCAGCACAAGTGATGTGGTGTGGTGCCATAGATGGCTATGTAGTATGACGCAGCGATTCAATACGTCCATCCACATATTGGGAATTGACATGAGTAAAGCATTCGACACTGTCCGCCGCGATGTCCTGATGAGGATCCTTGAATCCTTCCTCCAAGAAAGTGAGCTCCGAATGATCCGTATACTGTTGACTGAAACCTGGCTTGAACCTCGTGTGAAAGGTGCATCGAAAAGCTCCTTCAAGACAAATATCGGAGTCCCTCAAGGGGACAGTCTCTCTCCAGTGCTTTTCACCATTTACCTGGAGGCTGCTCTCCGGGACCTACGACAGGAGCTGCCATCTCGCCCTGCTGTGGACAATGACCTGCCGCTGGATATCGCATACGCGGACGATGTTGATTTTGTGAGCCGGGATGAGACGTTTCTCAGTGAAGTTGAACAACAAGCTCCAGCAGTTCTTGCGAGATGGAACCTGAACGTTAATCCCTCCAAGACAGAGCATACCACCGTCGCCCCATTTCCCGATAGGAACCAAGAAACGTGGCGTACTGTCCGCAAACTAGGCTCCCTCCTGGGTGACGCCGAAGATGCTGCTCGGAGGCGTCAACTGGCCGCCGCCGCCTTCAACTCACTCCTCAAGATCTGGACCCGGAGGCGCCAGATCAGTGAAGGTCTTCGGTTGAGGCTCTACAACGCCTACGTCATCCCAGTCCTTACCTACAACTGCGGCACTTGGGGCCTACCGATGTCGGAGCTCGCGCGAATGGATTCGTTCCACAGGACCCAGCTAAGGAGCATCATCGACATGCGGTACCCTAAACGAATTAGCAATGACACTCTGTATAAGCGCTGCGGAGCTGTCCCCATCAGCGAGATGATCACAAGGCAGCGCTACAGTCTCGCTGGCCATATCTTTCGTTTGGCCCCAACTGCTCCTCCACAGTTGGCAGTGGATATGTATCTTCGTCTGGCCAACGACGAGGGCACTGAACGCTTCAGGGGTCGACCTCGGACGACTTTGGTAACGGTCTTGCAGACGGAACTGTTATCATGGCATGGACTTACCCTCCACCAGCCGCTAGATGTTGACGCAGTCCGCACAATGGCAGCAGACCGACAGGCATGGCGTGGAGCTCGCCCCACCTAACAGGACTGACCAGACATGTTGTATGCATATTCTATTTTATTTTATACTTTGGATGAAGTTTTCCATTAGTCATATTTGTGTTGTTGCTAACGGCTTTTGTTGACGTCACTTCTGTCATTTCATTGTATCGTATTACTCTTCAGACATCAATCCTGAATGGCATAAGCGAAAGTGGCACCCCCGCCACCTACGCGGACATGCTTTTAATAATAATAATAATAATCTGCGTGGATGTTTTTCACGGAATAATAATATGTATTGCACACTGCGAGTTGTGCATGAAATCTCTCGCATTTGTACCCATTGTAAAATTTTAGCGCCGTTGTAGGAACTGCGTCTCCATAGCCGATTGTCGTGCACACTGTATTACCCAGACTCAATTATGTTCTGCTGTTTGCTTCACGTATCTCCATGCTGCAGCTGCTGAGAATGACAACTGCCCGATTTTGGAAGTCGACGCTCAGCAAGAGGACTCTGCAGCCTATCTGAGCTGTAAAGACCCGCGGGAAATTTGTGACGCCAAGTGGATGGTTGGTCCGCCAAAGCTTCTCATCCCAGCTCAGTCCACCGAGCGCTACACTGTGCGTCGTCGTCCGACTGGCTACGGTTCCTCCATTCTCATCACTCAGGTGGAACCGGAGGACGAGAACCGATTCAAGTGTGCTTGCTCCGACCGACCTGAATGCCCATTCCGGGTGGCCAGACTTCACGAGCCAGGACATGTTGAGCCAGGTATGTAGTACATAAATCTGCAACTAGCATACATAGATCTGCTAGTAGCAGTGGGGAATTTTCGCTTTGCTGCCACGGTAACCAACATAGCACCCAGAAAATGCGTTGAATCGGTTGTGCGTAGCACTACGTATGCAATGCTATGCATGCACGGTTCTGTGCGTCAGAACTGGTCAAATGCTGGAAGTCCCCGGAATAGTATAGATGTGTTTGTAGTTACTGGTCTTCTTCATGTTCACCATGCGGCAGTGTGGCGAAGACAACTGCAGAAACACCAAGGCCACTGTAGCGGCTATGATTTAGCACTGGCGCACTGGCAAACACTAAACAGGTGGAGAAAGAAACCTAGGGCAGTGCATGACCTAGTGCCGGCAGGTCCGTCCAGGGCAGTGCGTGGCCTAGTCACGGTTGGCAGGTTCGTCCAGGGCAGTGCGTGGCCTAGTCACGGTTGGCAGGTCCGTCTAGGCCTTCACAGTACCGTGCTTGGACTTGCTCGCACAATCGGGGTTTTGTTGAATATCCTTAGGGCAGCAGCCATGTTTCTAGTGTGAGGTGATGTACAGTGTTGCTGAATGAAATCCAGTCGTGTCACTCAAGAACGCGCCGGGCGTTGCGCAGCCATAGACCTGCGAACACTGGGCTACGAAATGATGCAAGGCGCAAACTTGAATGACTCGTCTGGATTTCATTGATCAGCACTGTACAAGTCCGCCCAGCATCTGCCCTGTGTCCTTCGAGAGGTCCCGTGTTTGCTGACGAGCAGAACCTGGCAGGCCAGTAGTTTGTGTTTTCAGCAGAAGTATCCTGTGAGCACAGCCTTAAAGACGAGTGAGATACATGTAACCCGTTTCTGTGCTTCTGCCTCCTCCTGTGATTTCTGTATTGTAGAGGCAACCTGCTTTGATATTGTCCACTCTACGCATGAGCACCTCCTCTTTGATGCTGAGAGTCCAGAAGCAGACTTCCGCCACTGTCAGATTCACAACGTCACTGCCAAGGACATCACATGGATCGACTTCAAGGCCAGCAACGTACACGCCACAAACTGTTCGTTCGAGACGATTCGCATTGTCAACAGCCACATCACCAACCTGACGCTGGCTAACTTCACGCAGGTTAGACACATTGAGGTGATCAACTCAACGGTGATGAACATCACTTTCCTCAACAGCACACTGCTGAACATGACCTTTGTCAACGTGACTCTACTCAATCACACATTCGTCAACGCAACTGCTTACAACTTCACGTACCTCAACACCACCATCACTAACCATACCTTCCTCAACTCCACCATCTACAACTTCACCTACATCAACTCTACCATCTTCAACAAGACAATTAATTCAACCGTCTTCAAGAACCTGACCCTGATCAACTCTACTATGGTCAATGTGACGATGCTCAACTCCACCATTACCAATCACACTCTTGTTAATGTCACTGCCTTCAACCTGACCAAGTGGAACGTCACCATCAATGGCTCCATCTACAGCAATGTGACATTGAACAACACCATGTGGAAGAACGTCACTTTCCTGAACAACATCATTAGGGAAATTTTTGAGGGGTGCATGTGCCCCCCGTGCCCATTGCCGAGCACGCGCCTGATCTCACTGTTCAACAATCTGACCAACTTCACCCTATACAACGCTACATTCTACAATGTCAGCATGCAGTCCATTAACGCCACCAACTTCACCTTCATCAACAGCACATTCTACAACGTCAGCATCATCAACGCGAGCCTTGTGAACTACACCATGTACAACGTGTCAGCTCATAACTACAGCATGGTCAATGTGTCCGCTTTCAACCTGACCAAGTGGAACGTCACCATCAATGGCTCCATCTACAGCAATGTGACATTGAACAACACCATGTGGAGGAACGTCACCTTCTTGAACAACATCAGCATCCCCCTGTTCAACAACCTGACCAACTTCACCCTGTACAATGCCACGTTCTACAATGTCAGCCTGCAGTCGATCAATGCCACCAACTTCACCTTCATCAACAGCACATTCTACAATGTCAGCATGATAAACGCAAGCCTGGTAAACTACACAATGTACAATGTGTCTGCTCACAACTACAGCATGGTCAATGTATCTGCTTTCAACCTGACCAAGTGGAACGTCACCATCAATGGCTCCATCTACAGCAATGTGACATTGAACAACACCATGTGGAAGAACGTCACTTTCCTGAACAACATCATTAGGGAAATTTTTGAGGGGTGCATGTGCCCCCCGTGCCCATTGCCGAGCACGCGCCTGATCTCACTGTTCAACAATCTGACCAACTTCACCCTATACAACGCTACATTCTACAATGTCAGCATGCAGTCCATTAACGCCACCAACTTCACCTTCATCAACAGCACATTCTACAACGTCAGCATCATCAACGCGAGCCTTGTGAACTACACCATGTACAACGTGTCAGCTCATAACTACAGCATGGTCAATGTGTCGGCTTTCAACCTGACCAAGTGGAACGTCACCATCAATGGCTCCATCTACAGCAATGTGACATTGAACAACACCATGTGGAGGAACGTCACCTTCTTGAACAACATCAGCATCCCACTGTTCAACAACCTGACCAACTTCACCCTGTACAATGCCACGTTCTACAATGTCAGCCTGCAGTCGATCAATGCCACCAACTTCACCTTCATCAACAGCACATTCTACAATGTCAGCATGATCAACGCAAGCCTGGTAAACTACACAATGTACAATGTGTCTGCTCACAACTACAGCATGGTCAATGTATCTGCTTTCAACCTGACCAAGTGGAACGTCACCATCAATGGCTCCATCTACAGCAATGTGACATTGAACAACACCATGTGGAAGAACGTCACTTTCCTGAACAACATCATTAGGGAAATTTTTGAGGGGTGCATGTGCCCCCCGTGCCCATTGCCGAGCACGCGCCTGATCTCACTGTTCAACAATCTGACCAACTTCACCCTATACAACGCTACATTCTACAATGTCAGCATGCAGTCCATTAACGCCACCAACTTCACCTTCATCAACAGCACATTCTACAACGTCAGCATCATCAACGCGAGCCTTGTGAACTACACCATGTACAACGTGTCAGCTCATAACTACAGCATGGTCAATGTGTCCGCTTTCAACCTGACCAAGTGGAACGTCACCATCAATGGCTCCATCTACAGCAATGTGACATTGAACAACACCATGTGGAGGAACGTCACCTTCTTGAACAACATCAGCATCCCCCTGTTCAACAACCTGACCAACTTCACCCTGTACAATGCCACGTTCTACAATGTCAGCCTGCAGTCGATCAATGCCACCAACTTCACCTTCATCAACAGCACATTCTACAATGTCAGCATGATAAACGCAAGCCTGGTAAACTACACAATGTACAATGTGTCTGCTCACAACTACAGCATGGTCAATGTATCTGCTTTCAACCTGACCAAGTGGAACGTCACCATCAATGGCTCCATCTACAGCAATGTGACATTGAACAACACCATGTGGAAGAACGTCACTTTCCTGAACAACATCAGCGGGGAAACTTTTGGGGGTTGCACGTGCCCCCCGTGCCAATCGCCGAGCACGCGCCTGATCCCACTGTTCAACAATCTGACCAACTTCACTCTGTACAACGCTACATTCTACAATGTCAGCCTGCAGTCGATCAACGCCACCAACTTCACCTTCATCAACAGCACATTCTACAATGTCAGCATGATCAACAGCAGCCTCGTTAACTACACCATGTACAATGTGTCTGCTTACAACTACACGTTGTGGAACATGTCCGCGGTCAACTACACGATGAAGAACGTCTCGTTCGTGAACTCATCTTTCGTGAACATCACTGCTCTGAACTTCACCCTGTCCAACTGCTCTGCCTCAAACTGGACTCTGGCTAACTTCACTGCCTCTCGCTTCATCCTGCACAACATCTCTGCCGTTAACGTCAGCATGTACAATGTCAGCATGGTGGCTTCTCGCTACGTGAATGTTACCTTCATGCGCTCCAACTTCACAGAGAAGTTCATCCTGAACTCCAGCTTCGTGAATGTTACCCTGGCAGAAGCCAAGATGGAGAATGTCACAATGGTGAACTTCACCAGCGCCAACTTCACTACAGTGAACAGCACTGCATTGAACTACACCTTCATCAACACCACCAGCTTCAACATGTCTATTGACCAATGCCAGTACACCAACTTCAGCCTCATCAACTCGACCTTCCTGGCTCCTCGATGGGTGAATGTGACTTTCAACGCCACAATCTTCAACAACGTCACCTTGACCAATGCCACTCGCCCGGTCATCGCCAATGAGACTGGTCTCTTCTACGTGCAGGATTGTGCCAACAGCAGCTTCTACATGGCTCCCTACATTGACTCCGTGCTCTTCTTCAACTCCACCATCAACAGCACCAGTCTCTACCATGCTAAGCTGGTGAACATCACGCTGGAGCTGACGCTCTTCAACAACTCGCTGATCTACAACAGCACCATCTTCAACATTGGCGCCTTAATGAACCAGTTCTTGAGCTGCTCGATCCTCAACACGACCGTCACCGACGGATTCCTGATCACGAATATCTTCAACACCATCCGCCGCTATATGCTGATCACGGAGGCTGTGTTCCTGGAGGGGTTCAACACCATCTCAAATATCTTCGAGCTGGAGGTGCTTCCCGTGGAGCTGATTGAGGAGCCAGTAATGGCACTCCTAGGTAAGAAGAACTAGCTGACTGATCCCCTCACTGACCATGTTGTCTCTGCGCATTTTCATCTTGTTCTAGTTGTGCATGGTCGTTCATGTTTGATGATGTTTCCCGGTTTTTCGTGTGCAATGCCCTCACTTGAAGTATGTGTAATCTTGAGATGATGTGGTTAACTTGTTGGAATCACGCTGAACATAAACTAACCCTGTTTCTGCCTGTCCGTGTTTCGGTGCTTGCTTCTGCAGAGCTTCCCTGCTATCCAGTCGACAAAGTTCTGGAAGAAGTGGAGATAACTGAGGAGCCATTGCCTTTCAGCAATACTCCGTTTGATCCGGAAATGCCACCGCAAGAAATTATCTATAAGGTCGACGACACGAACATTCTTTTAAATTTTTAATTCGCTAACTCTCCTCCCCGATCTATAAACAAGTGTTCACACTCATTTCCACCATAAGCCCGTTCTACAGCAGAGTAATCTCTTATACTAGCTTTGCCTGTCCCTAGATCACTCCTATCTTCTATTTTATTCGCCAAACAATCCAGAGGGCGGTTTTGATACTGCAAACAACAACCATGTGTGCTTCTTCCTGAGATATCTGTTATTTCTTGGCTGATGCCTTTCGGCCGTGTTTATCAGCACACGCATGCTGCCGTCACCATAACCTTCGTTTTGTGAATCCTTAGGTATTACAATAGACATCTTATCAACAATTATCCAATCCTGTCCTGCCGTGCGCTCGCACGAGAGCGAGTGTATGTGTGCGCACGCAAACGCATGCATGTGCGTGTGAGTGTTAGTGCATGATTCTGTAAGGTTTGTGCTGAGGCACGATACCACGCTTACTATCCCTCCGATGGCGTGGTTGTGAGTGTCTTTTTTAAGCCTGTTTGGTTGGGAGTTTGGTGCTTAGAATAATATTGGAGATAACACTTTGCAGTAGCTGCAAGACTGATATTCTTCTTTGTGATATTAACTTGGCTTGCATGCATTCAAAAATAATCAAAACAGCACATAAAGTTCCTCTAAAACTTCAACTAAATTCCCAAATGGTAGTAACTTACTGATCTGTTCACCATCAGCACGATGCACCATCTGCTAGAGATCTGAAAAAGAGTACTAATACGGGCATGAGCTACAGGATATAAAACTACTTACACATTGCAATGCACGTACTTGTAGGTCTACCAATGCTGGCCAAAGAAAACCAACCTCCTGCAGAAAATAGCGTTGCCGGGCGCTACGCAGCCCTAGTACTACACACAGTGTTCTGTGCACTCGATGGCTCCGCTACTTTATTCAGGGAGTCGTAACATACCGGTATTTTACGACTCCCTGGTGCCAGCTGTAGATGGTGTGAAGTCAATATTTTTTTTAACCATTTTCGCTTGTACAAAAAGTATGGTGTTTCTCAGCCACGCTCCCGTCTTCATCAACTGTGATAATTTAGTTCGTTCTCAGTGGCGGACCATGCAAACCAACGTTTCCCTCTCCACACAATAATGCATCTTGAATGATGGCGTAATCAGCAAATTTGTGTACAACTGGATCATACACTTATACGACCGAGTCGGAGTCTCCCTAGTCCCTATGCAGGCCCCAGCGATGCATAGCGGGAGCACAAATAAACAAAGCCCAGATGTAACAAACTACCAGGTGAAAAGGAGTTGGGCCTTTCTTTGCGGTGGGTCTGATGCACTCACCTCTCCTGCGCCTTGATCATTGCGTTGCCGCGGATGCGGAAACGTCTGGCTGCCTCTGTCTGGCCCGTAGTCTGAGTCCAGCTGCAATATATTGTTTTTCATTTACATGTACTTGCATGACCACCTGCTGGTCGTTCATCACTCATTCTTTTTTTTGAACACGCACACATACTCTCGGTAGTGTTTTTGCGGGCGAATAGACTCCACTTCTGCGGACTCCAAATTTTCTGGTCTGGACAATCACCAGGGTGCATAATCCAACTGAAGGCTAACAAGCCAGACTGAATGTGTAATACAGTCATGTACATGTAGATAACACTATGACTAAGTGCAATAGAGCCGTGAATGGTGATGTTAAAGGGGAAGTTAAGGCAAAAATTAAAATTTCACCAGTTGTAGTCTTCGGGGTGCTGAGTCGAATGGTCTTGGTCCGAGAAAGCTGAGACGCTCCCTTCCTACTTGAATCCCAATCGAACTCGCGCACTTCCACCGAAACTGGGTGACTGCGCCCTACTAGATGGGGATTTGTATGCAAAATGTCACTAAAAGCGCCATTTCGTTCTTATAAAAGCACAGATGACCGCGATTGGCCCATACGTTGTAGTCTTTTGGACGCTGAGTCGACTGGTTTTGGTCCGAAAAGGCTGCGATGCAGCGTTCCTCCTTTATTCCCAATCGAACATGGTTGAAGAAGCGGTCACGTGCTCCTGGGTGCCAAAATCACCCGGTCACCACGCCAGCAGGCGACAACTTTCACACCAAGGTTCAACTCGAGTGACAGGACTGCACCCAAAAAAGGTCAAAACAGGCTGTAAGTTGTACCCTGCAGTAGGCACCGGCGGATAATGCTAGCATAATTACTAGCATAATGACCCATGTGGGGAAGACCGGCACTGCCCTAGCATAAACCCTCCAAATGTGACCTTGTCTGGCACAATCGATGTGTGAAACTAGCACTACGTCCAGATGAAAGTGTGTGCTGGATGCCACCGTTGCCAGAAGCGTGTTTGGCACTGTTTGCTGCGTTTACGGAGTTGTTCAAACTGCACTGACTTGTACTTGGAGCTAAATATAGCATTGTGCACACTTTTTGCAAATTTGATTTCCAAATTTGCAATGCTTGTCTTGAAGTTCAATGTCAATGTGTTATGTTTCCACCGTGTTTGCCCTGTGATACTGCCATATTCCGAGTGACTGCATAGGGAAGTCATTATTTCCCACCGCATGGATTGACATTTTTGTAGCACTATCGGCACTGCTAGCATTATAACTAGCATAATCGCTCCAAATAACTAGCAGTGCTAGTAGCACAATTTCCTCATATAACTAGCATTATCCGCCGGTGCCTACCCTGCAGGCACGGTGACCAGCTGACTGGTGTACGCAGGAGCACGTGACCGCTTGTTCAACCATGTTCGATTGGGAATTGGGGGCGAACGCTGCATCGCAGCCTTTTCGGACCAAAACCAATCGACTCAGCGTCCAAAAGACTACAACATATGGGCCAATCGCGGTCATCCGTGCTTTTATAAGAACGAAATGGCGCTTTTAGTGACATTTTGCATACAAATCCCCATCTCGTAGGGCGCAGTCACCCAGTTTCGGTGGAAGTGCGCGAGTTCGATTGGGATTCAAGTAGGAAGGGAGCGTCTCAGCTTCCTCGGACCAAGACCATTCGACTCAGCACCCCGAAGACTACAACTGGTGAAATTTTAATTTTTGCCTTAACTTCCCCTTTAAATGTGTCGCAGCGAGAGTGTAGCTGTTCCGAGGTGGGAACTACAAGAGAGCTGGTGTAACTTGTAAGGGTGGGCGAGGGGGGTGGGGGCGGGGGTGGAGCTGTGTTTGTGTGCGAAAAATATTTCACGGTTCGCGTGATGCTCGTTTGGACAGAGTTTTCCGCGTCCG